TGTGCTGCGCCCCGGCTGAGGAGGTGGGGTTAATGCGCCCTTCTGGCAAAAAGAAACCTGGAAGATCTCTTTCCGAGCCTCGCGTCTGCTCCGCTTTCCCAGCCCCTGGTCCTGGGGTGCGGAGTCTCCCCTGGCAGGTTTCGGCTAAATGACTGCAGGCTGGATTAGCCCCCGTCGAGTGTCCAGATCCCCCTTCTTCCCTCTGGTGGCAGCTCACGAGAGCTGAATACGCTGAAATAGAAGTCTTGGTTAGAAAAGTGAACATGTTGGCATTGGGAGCCTTTCCAAACAGGAAGCTGCCCAAGCCCGATTTTACTTGTGAAAGATTAGATGCCTAAATAGTTACTGTACGGGATGCTGTATGAGGCTGCAAAACTTTTGTGTAATTTCAGTGCTTGGGCTGAGACGGGAGAGTTAGGTGACTGATCTGCGCTTCTTAGTTAGCCAGTGCTGGCTGCTTGTGCACCATGCACAAAAGCAGCACGTTAGCTAGCCTTTTAACTTGCCAACTTTAAAGAATAATTCAGAATCACACACCCCCCCCCCCCAAAAAAAAAAAAGAAAAAGGTGATGGTATTTTTGCTGAGTGTTTTTGAGATAAAATCTGGGACTGGGGGCATGTTTTGGAGGTAGGTTATTAAGAAGAGAATGCTTACTGTTAAGAGTTCTTCCAAGCAGATTTCTCTATGGTAGCTTAAAGATCTGCTGTACTCAATCACAGTTTTTGGGGGAGAAGAAAAAAAATCTCTTAACCTTTCTGTTTTGATGAGTAATCAAAAGAAAGCTTTTCGATAGTACAGTTATACTGTCAGAACAGAGGTTCTGATATGTGCCTTTTGAGTGAGTCTTAACATCACGTTTTTTATATTTCTTCTCAGACTTTCCGCTAAAGGTGTTTCCCCTTTGTGGCAGTGACAAAAAAGATCACGACTCAGTTGTTCCACTTCCCAGACGAGTGTTTGACCCAAACTGACTTTTTTTTTGTCTAGGGACTGAGATGCAGGGTTGTGACCTGGGCTGCCTGAGTTTGCAGTGTCACCCATTGCTCTTGCTACGCGTGTGATGACTTCCGAGCAGCTAGCACACAGTGAGGACGTTTTAATCCCTTGCAGCAACATTCACTGGAAACTTCTAATTTCACACTTTTCCTCTTCGTGCTCATGAAAAAAGATTAGGAAAAAGGAGACAATATCTTCTGTAATTCTTTAATTGCAGAACAGTTTAAACACTAATAGGCTGCTGCTGGATCAGGCAGTCTCAGTTGTTCTTTCTTGCCCCTGCACCTCTCCTCTCCCATGTATCAGTGCAGCGCTCTGTAGATATTAACGTTGGTCCTAGAACAGGATAATTAGTTTTTCAGTAGTGCTATTAAGTTCAGGCATGCTGCCACACTGCTGTAGCTCTAATCATGCTGGTTTTAGGGCTAGCTCCCTCTGAGTTAGCATAGTTATCTCTTTTGTGTGGAACTGCACTTGATGTTCCTCATTAGCCTATTTTTTTGGCAAATCTATTAAATGGCTGGGTGACCCTTGGTAGCTGACTTAGTTACAGTGACCCTATGTGCTCATTCATATATTGAGTATCGTTGGTTTAACAGATGCGTTTGCTTTTCTTTTTATTAAAAAAAAAGTTTTAATCCAATTAAAACTGAGTGTTAAACAAACAGCCCATTCACAATTTTCTACAGGTAAAAGGTAATTCTTTAGAAAGCAGAGATGTTTAAAAATACACTTCCCTTCTCACTGTTTGACATATCTTTTTTTTTTTTTCTCTACTATAGTTACAAATCAGTGGTTCCTTCCTGCTGTAAGGGGAGATATTCCTCCAGGCTGTGCAGCACATGGATTTGTTTGTGATGGTACCAGAATACTAGTTTTTGGAGGAATGGTTGAATATGGAAGATACAGTAATGACTTATATGAATTGCAGGTAGGAAATGTATGAAGATGTTTCAGTTTTGAAGGACTACTTTATCCACTTATGAACAAACATATTTTCTATTACCAATTGCAGATGAAATTTAGATGAGCTTTGCTGTGCTCCAGGAAGAATAAACTTTTTTTTAATAACTAGGTTATTTAGATTTTCTCCATGTTTGGAATCTATTTAAAGAGACTTCCATCTAGTCGAAATTATGAAGGTGATCTCTTATGTGTCCCTTTCGATGTATATCCTAAGAAAAACCCAGCATTACCTTAAAAATAATTCAGAAAATATATGAGTGTTAATGTTATCTGAATTCTGTTGGCTATGAGCAACTATAAATGAAGGTATTTCTGATATATTTTTCTTGTCTTTAAGGCAAGTCGATGGCTCTGGAAAAAAGTAAAACCTCAAGCTCCTTCTACTGGATCACCACCTTGTCCTCGACTTGGCCACAGCTTTTCTTTATATGGTAACAAGTGCTATTTATTTGGTGGCCTGGCAAATGAAAGTGAGGATTCAAATAATAACGTTCCCAGGTATGATGATTTGGTTTGAATTCAATGTCTTTAAAAATAAATTACTAGATAGAGGAACATTCTAGGGAGGCTGTCCTGCATACCAAGTACTCACATTTGGATTATTTGTGCAGTGGAGGGGTTACATGCTAAGAAGCTTAAATATTTCTTCTGCTGTTCCAGAATATGTAACACTGACTGACAGTTCTGACTGCTTTGGAGGGAAACCTGAGTAGACTTTGGTATTTTTTCCTAGTATTTTGAGTGATGTTTTTAAGAATGGCTTGTTTGACAGAAGAATTTAAATCAGCAAAGTCTCATGAGTCATCAGAGAATTCACAATGGAAGTTTCCTCTGTAACGCTGTGGAAAACATTTAGGAATTCATCTGGAAATTTTTTTAAGTAGCAGCTGAAGCTGCCTTTATTATCGGCAGACAGTGCTGTAATGCTGAAGTTTCATATCCACGTTCACCTGCAGTTAGAGCGCTTGTATCCATTGAGCTATAAACTGGCAATTATAAGTTCTAGAAACAAGAGGTATCTGGTGTGAATGCCAAGATTGAAAGACCATTATCTAAAAATAACTTGCCGATAGATTCAGTGACAAATGGCTAATTGTCTGTTGGCCAGCCTGAAGTTATCAGAAAAAAAACAGCTGCTTTTCACCTTTGTTGCCTTAGAGTTGCAGAAATTAATCTCTGATGTCCCACGTCATCGTGTATTTCTCATAACTTTGCAGTTTATTCCAAGTTTGTCCATATGTAGTAGTTTCTGCTAAGAATGTTGTTTACCAATGTTCAATGTTTCTTTCATGTAATAGAGTGTATCAAGTCTGAAAGGATGTTTTCTTCAGAGGCAACAAATCATACTTTTTTTGTTTTAAATCCATTTAGTTTTGGTACTGTCCACAATGCCATCAAATGTTTGAGATTTTAAAATTCTACACTCTCCCAAGACAGAAGTCGATAATACTTGGAAGTGGTCAGGGTTTAAAGCCCATTGTAATCTTGCTTATAAGTGAATTTTTCATACTTTGATAATAATACCCTAGATATTTAAATGATTTCTATGAACTGGAGCTGCAACACGGTTCTGGCGTTGTTGGCTGGAGTATTCCTGTGACCAAAGGGATCTTGCCGTCTCCCCGAGAATCTCACACAGCCATCATATACTGCAGAAAAGATTTGGGAAGTCCAAAGATGTATATTTTTGGAGGGATGTGTGGCTGTCGGCTTAATGATCTCTGGGAACTTGACATAGGTGAGTTGATTTGCCAGTCGAAGTTAGTGCAGGGGCCTTACTGGCTAAGAGGAAAAATTATAGTATATAATGATTAATGGCATGATGTGGTGCAGATATTACTGGAACTTACACCATAGTGTTAACCATTTGTGATTTTTGGAATTACGTAGATATAGCATTGTTTGCATATATTATCCTCACTGATTTTGGTTATACCATGGGGTTGTTTCTTTAGAATGCTTTAAAGTTGGATAACCATAATGAAACCATAATACATCTTTCTGATAAACAATTAGTTTGTCAGTGTTTCCCATGAATTTTAGAAGAAGCTTTAAGTGCTTTTTATTGCGCTTTCTTTCTTAAAATGGCCATCTTGAAAAGGTGAAATTTTGTTTTGTTGAACGTTAGAGGTATGTTCCCTCCTAAAATCCAGGTAGTGAAATATACAGTAACAAATTTTTTGAGGGTTTTTATTCTTTTTCTTTTAGAAACCATGACTTGGTCAAGACCAGAAACCAAAGGGACAGTACCACTTCCGCGCAGTCTCCATACAGCCAATGTAATAGGAAACAAGTATGTCTGTTGTTAAAAGCTCAACTCTAGAAAGGTACACCTAGTAGGAGAATGATGATGCTTATCCACTACTGCTCAGTATAAATCATCAACACTGTAGAGTACTTTTCTGCTTCTGTTATCCTACCTCAGTGGAAATTAAAAAGTACCATTGTTAATTTAAGTGTATCAAACTGTCAGTGTTTCCATGCTGCAGGACAATCTGCCCAACCCACAAACAGCTTTCCAGGCTTCTTAATGCACCTTTGTGCATTCTGGGGCGGTCTCAGCTGGACCTGAGCTGGCTCTGTCAGGAGCCAATTTGAGTGCCTCTGTGTCTGTGACACAGTGAACTAGCTACGCAAAGAAACTGCCCAAAGAGTAGAAATAGTTATAGGCAAAACGATTCTGCATTTTTGTGGGCCAGTTTTTCTGTAGTCTGTTCCTCATTACTTTGCTTCTTGCCGCTATGGTTTGTTTTGGCAGATGGCATTGATAAAATGGACTTCTAAACGTGGGTTTCAGTCCATTTTATATCAGTTTACAAGCTGGCACAAGGGGAAAGAAGTGTGAAAGCTTTCTATCTTATGATCCAACAGCTTAGCTTTTTATTGTTTACTTAAAATGTTATTAGTTTGTAGCCTGCATTATGTTTTTAAATTTTGATATCTGACTTAGATACCAGTGTTCTAATTGTAGAATGGTTTATTGAGAGGTCTGCAGTAAAGGGTTGTAGAAATTCTGTGTAAATGTGTGATTTTTGGACACTACTGGCAGTTTGGTAGTTTGTAAAAAGATACAGTATTCACTTCTGGGAAATTGTTTGGGGAGTTTGGGGGACTTTTGTTTGTTTATTTGTTTTTAATCAGTTAACCTACTCAGAAATTTCAGAAGGTAGATGTCTGCAACAGTACTTTCTAAAGAGAGTAGACACAAATAAAATCTGCTGTAAACCAGAACTGTAAAGCACTGGAAACTTTCTGTTTTGTCCTAGCTTGAGAGAGCACATGCAGCACATCTGGATGTTAATTGGCTTTTCTTTTCTTTTTCCCTCTTCCCTCTTTTCCTATATTTCAGAATGTATGTTTTTGGTGGATGGGTACCACAGTCAGCAGGAGGTGAAATTTCTGCTCATGATGGTGAATGGAAATGTACCGGTTCATTTTCTTATCTTAATTTGGGTTAGTGTTTCTGCCTTTCTGGGAGTGGGCATTTTGAATTAATACTTTATTAACAGAGTAGAATAAATATTTTGAAGACCCTGAGAAAAGTTTTAGGATACACAGTTGTAATCCTAGCTGACTAAAGAAGATGCCAGGTTTTTTACATCTTTCGTAAGAAGTGATTTTTTTTTTTCTTTGAACATTCAGCAGGTTTGCTGATGAAAATCTCTGTTAATACAGCTTTAATACTAAGTAATATACATACTGCTTCTTCATTTGTAGAAGAACACAAGGGGCAGATCCTGAAATGATTTTTTTCTAAATGTGATAGTACTATCCCTGAATCCTCAGTTTCTGATCTTGTATTTGCTTGAGAGACTAACCAGAGGTCAGAAAATTCATCCTCTGTTAATTGATTGTACCTTGCAAACTAACTAGAAAGCGACCTTCTCCTTGTGGTATTGCAAATTTGAATGCAATAGTCTATAAAAACAGAGGTGATTTATTTTCATTTTCTCTGAGCAGTTAAGTGTATTAACATCTGTATTGCTTGTTTTGGAAAACATCTAGAAACTAAATTTTTTGAGTTTCATTTACTAGATACCACAGAATGGATAGGTCTGATCTCAGATTGCCAGGAGGACAAAAGTAACTTGTTACCAGGGCCAAGAGCAGGACACTGTGCTGTAGCGGTTGGCACTCGTCTGTATATCTGGAGTGGTAGAGATGGTTACAGAAAAGCTTGGAACAATCAAGTTTGCTGCAAAGATCTTTGGTACCTTGATACTGGTGAGTCAGAAATACATAAGAGACTTGTACTTTGTTCCATATTTTATTAACATATGGGAAGCTGGCATCACTGATGATCAGAACATCTAAAACTGTAGCAAACTCAAAGATTATTTAAATTTTAGAGCTTATTTAAATAAACTATGCTTCACTGTTGATTGTTTGAAGGCTACAGCTGTAACTTAAACAGAAAAAATAGGAAGGCTTGTAGAAAGCCTGTGAAAGAACTTTGTGGCTAGATTTTGCATTGCATGTCATAGTCAGTAGATACAAGGTGCTAAAGGGTGTTTTACCTAAACTCAAGATTCCTGGCCTCTCTTCTTTGTGATCTTTTCTGCTGCTACTTACTCTTTTTTTACCAAACCCCTCCTTCTCTTGGGATCATTGCTGCTGCTGCTTCCTCATCTCTTGGACTGCAAAAAGATACTGTCGAATCTGAGAAAGGACCAGGGGCTGATGAGAATTCTGGAGCACTAATCACTCATTAGTAGCTAGCTTGATGGCAGGACACTGAGATGGTACTGGGAAAGAGAGAACTAGAATAGTACTTGTGGGAGAGAGTTGTTGGCCGCTCAAGCACAAGTATGAGAATGGTTACTGGAGATTGTGAAACATGTAGGAGACTGTGTTTTCTTTCTTTTTTTTCCCTTTTTTTTTTTTTTTTTTTAAGCTTCAGGAAGGTCAGAAGATGAAAAAGAGTAGCAGGGGAAGGATGTGCTTGAGAGTGCAGCCTAGTAAGGCATCAAGGCAAGTGAGAGGAGCAGGCCATTGATATTGAATCATGCCTAGGCCTGAGCCTCTGCAGAAATTCTTTAAGGGAAAGCTCACTTTAGCTACGGAGAGCAAGCAAAAAAGGAATTGCAATCTTCTGTGAATCCTTTCCAGGAACATGTAAAGCTTCAGGAACCAAAGAGCTGCATGCAGCCTTTTAGGAAAGGATGAGGATCTCTCATCTCTGTAATGCCCATAATGATGTATATACAACCCAAAGACTTACTGGCAGCAGAAAAGCCATTAAAAAAACAAAGCGTCAAAACTTCAGCATTTTTGAACACTCTAGAATGGCACTTTATAGTTCTCTGACTTGACTTGCCACCTTTGACAACTGTTTCTTGTTGAATCTGGTATATATTGTACATAAGTGAAAAAGGAGCTATTGATTTTGCTTGCATTATATAGATATTTCTTAAACTGATAAAGGAGGGCAATTTCAAACATGCCATCTGTGTTTTATTGGTTTCTTGTAGAGAAACCTCCAGCACCATCACAGGTACAGCTGATTAGAGCTACAACCAACTCTTTTCAAGTGAAATGGGACGAAGTACCTACAGTTGAAGGATATCTTCTTCAATTACATGCTGATTCACCAGTGCCGTCAGTGGCTGGAATACCTGGTACTGGGGTTCCTGAGACATCAGTGCTGAGTTCACAAGGTAGTAGTCAGATCACATTACGCTAATGTTTGTGCAAAGGTACAGTAGAGGATTGCATAAACAATTAATATGAGTTTGTTTTTAAAAAAGTCATTTTGAAAGAGAAAGACCCTATTTCTTTGATTATTCCCAAAATGCGTGCATCCTAATTACGGAGGACTCAGCTTTTAACGTGTCTCTGTCAGTTTTGGCCAGCTGTCTGAATATGAAGATATTTATACAGTGCAGGACATGATTTGAGAAAGGAAATAGCAAGGAAAGGATTTTATCTGACTGGCCATGCAGTTTCATTTCAGTCTTGCAACCGAGTCTTCCTTCAGACAACTTTGGGTCTTCCTCTTGCTTACTGGAAAAGATTCCAGCCAACACAATATTAAGTTTTATGTGACTGATTGGAATTTGCTTTTGTTTACCTGAAAGGTGGCTCTTCTGTACATCAAAGTCCGCAATCATTGCCTAGTGTCCCTTATCCAGAAATGAAGGTGGATCATCCCAGCCAAACAAATGCCATTCCTAATAACGTAAGTGTAAACTGAAAAATGCCTAAGTGGCAAAGTAGTGTGGAAAGCGAGAGAACTGCGAGAACACTTTCTCATTTTTAAAAGTCCCTGCATATTTTTTAGGCCTTAGAAAAAGCCCAAAATCAAATGCAGAAAAAGACACCTGCTGAAGTAGTTGTATCTGTTTACTTTTATGGTTGATAGACAGTCTTTAAAGTCCTCTTCCTGGCAATGCAGAAAGGAAACTGCAACTGTATTGACTTCCAGATTGCTAATTGGGAGCCTGATACCAGTAGAAATACTATTCATCCTGAAAATGTTGTTGAAAATAATGTGTGAGGCAAAAAGAATAAAGCGTATTCCTCCTTTGTTAGTGTTTATATGCTAGTCTGCTTAGTTCTGGGTTCCAAATACAGTATAAACCTAATTACTTGTTCTGGTTGTGCAGTTGTACATGTTCCACTGTTTTGCCCATTTAAAAGAAAGAGGGAGGACAAACTGGCTAAAGCATCACATTTTTAGAAATTTAGACCTTTTCTTTATTGTGTAAGGCCTCAGGTCAGTATGGGATCCATAATGTATTGTTGTAGAAGATACATGTAGAAATACTATACATTTTACTAACGGTAGAAATATCTTAGGTATGTGCCAGGAAAACAAAGGTTGAAAACCTCTGTAATTGTGATTTTTTTTTTTTTTTTTCCCCCCATCTCCTCAAGTCTCCCCAGTAGACTAAATGTATGCATCAGTGAACTTCCATGTCATAACATAAGAATGTGAGCTCACTCTCAGATAAAATGTACTATGTGTCAGGGGTACTTCCAAGTCAACTTAGAGTTTGAGTCTTTGTTTTATAATGGATAAGATAAGGTGGATTGTGAGGTTGGTTTCTTGTTTTAAAGTGCTAGGGGGATTTGTTGGAGGATTTTTGTTTGTTGTTTTCGAGCAAGCATTTTCATGCCATATTTGCAACTGAAATTTCTGAACTTTGCAGTTTAACAAATGTGTTGTTTTGGTTAGGTCCAAGTTTCCGTTTCACCCAACTCATTATTAAAAGTAGAAGGAAAAGAAAAGGTTGCAGCACCTGAAAACAAGATTACACAGGAGACTCTGAAAAACCATGCAGATGCTACAGGATTCAAAGAATCAAATGCCCCTTCTCTTTTGCCTGTTTGTACTTCAAGTAAGATAACTATAGAATAAAAACTAATTAGAAAGTGAGAGTTAAAATTCATCTCATAAACATAAAATAAGATTATTTCTGTCTTGCAATTTAAAATTATTTTAGAGGCCTTTGTGTACTTTAAAGAAAAACAACTTGTGCTAGTTATCACTGTACATATTTTTAGAAGATACAAGGAAAAATGAAATCTTAAGTTGTTTGAAGTGTTGCAAGGGACATGAAATTCTCAATATATTAATTATTGAAATCTTTAAACATAAATAGCCATTTTTAACACCAAAGAGCAGACTAATAGGGTCATATTCATTTTACAACATTAAGGTGATAGTAACTCCAGGCTCTCTTTGACACTACTTCTGTCTGTTAATAGTGAAAAGCTATTAGCTGATGTAAAATTTTAGGCAATGTAGAGAGGAGCATGCTTCTTTCTGAAGAGGAAATAGAAGATACGCACTGATTTAGGCATTTTACTGTAGTGCCTTAAGTTCAGTGTGGTGAATCCAGGCTCAATCACCTGATCTGTTTATATTTTACTTTCATGTAATTTATAGATTGTTGGATTTTCATTTTCTTCACAGTGTAATTTAAGTATTGTGTGGAAATTTTGCATCTTAGTGCTAAGGGAGAAACAGACTTCCACAGTGGTTAATCTTAGGTTGATTGTTACAAATCTGTGATGCTGATTTGTGTGGATACTTTATATTAGGATTTTTTTTTGCAAATTCATCCTTTTGTAACCAAATAGATGTAAAATAGCAAGCTTAAAAGAAATGAAATTGCCATTTTAATATAACTGTTTACATGTATCTTTTTATGACTCTGCAGACAGACTTCTGTTAAGTTATATACCTAAAGAAAGCATTAGCAGTTAATATAATCAGATCTATTCTAATGTAAGTCTGAGCTGAACTCTGGTTTTATAGGAAACTAAAGCCATTAGATCAAGTTGAGATTTGTTATGTGTTATCAATATTGAATTCTGGTTAATATTTTCTTTTTTTTAAGGTCCTCAGACTTCAGCAAATGTAGGTGAATTACATGACTTGGACAAACGAACTGTAAATCCTGATGCTTCTGTATCCAGTACTGTCTCCAGCACACAAACTATGGTAACCCAGCAGGCTGTTAAAACTGAATCATCAAGTACAAATGGGGCAGTTGTTAAAGATGAAACTTCACTAACAACATTCAATTCAAAATCTGAAGGTTTGAAATGTGTTTCACATACTGTATTTTGAGCCATATATATCTAAGGCCATCAGAGTTCCTCTAATGTGGTGGGATTCCCATCTTGACTAGTATCTGAGACTGAGATAGGGCTTTGGGCATTGAGTACCTTGGGCAGCTTGGATGATCTCTGCTATGATTTAAACATCTTTTAAAATCAGAGTGTTCCTTTTACACATTTGTAAACCACTTTGTTTCCTGTAAGTGAAAGGTCCTTTAGATCTTCATTTATGCAGAAGGCCATTTGCTGAATAGCAGTGGCAGCCAGTTTTGGTGCCCATAGCACATTTGCTTTCATTTAGTGATTGTCTGTTTATTTAGTCAGCAAAAGACTACAAATAGTAACCTTTGATGGTTTTGGTTTTAAACCATTGACCTCTGTAACAAATATGGCCAGTTCATGTGGCTAGCTCACCACTAGTCAAATGTGGTGACCTCTTTACAGTCTGCTTGAAATACCTGAAATAAGCAGCAATGCAGAAACTAAACATATTGATAGTTCTTCAAGTTTTGTTTTTCATGAATATCAACAGGCTGTGCTTGCTATTCTTTTGAGTGTTAACTAAAGAACTGTATTCTCTTATTGATGCTGTGTGAGTAGTGTATTTTTTACCAAACAGTATTGTATTTTAAAAGCAAAAACCAGACACACAAGTACAGAATACTAGTATTCCCTTGTATTGCTTATGTGCTTTGATTTAGATCTCTTTTTTTTTTTTTAAGATTCCATTTTCAATTTAATAAACGTTCTTTTTCCCATTTGTTAGTATTGTTTAAAGATTAACTGCTCATGTTTAGAATTCAGGCTGTGTTGATGTCAGAAGCAATGCATTCACATTTAAGATTTCATGCTTAGACTATTTATACAATGTCATCAGTATGTGTTTCAATCTGGTATTTAGATTATTTGTTCACAAATCTTTCATAATTCCATAATTTTTTAGGATTTTCTGAGTCCTGCCTTTTGTTTATATTATCTGTATCAGCCTGCAATACCAGGCCTTTATAGTTGTCTTGTGAATATGATGCAAGCCAAAATTAGTTGTTCGTGTTATAAATAGAACTGCATGCGAAAGAAGTCAGACATACTTTTGCAACAAATATTTGTAAATGTCTATTGAGGTCAACTTTCATACTCTGTGGACTTTGTGTTAAATTTTTCTTATCACTTAAGCTTTTTAAATATAACTTTTTGTTTCTAGCTGCTGAAACTGCTTATATCACGCCTTCAACAAGGGTCAATACTGGACAGACAAATGATTCACACTCCTCTGTAAGTCTGAAAAAGTATAATCCAGTTGCTGTATTAGTTGTAAGGGCTTTTCTGTTTTTGTTTAATTGTATCTCTGAAAGAAAAGCAATGTATATTTAGGGCTTGAAGTGAGTAATACAGGGGTAAACATTTCTGTTGTAAAACTAATTGCATTGGATGGGTTTGATTTGAGTCTAAGTAGCAGTTGTGTAGTTGGGAGGAGATCCAAGTATGTGTTTCAGCTGTTGAATCATTTTTATTGGCTGGCACAGTGGACTGGTCTCTCTGCTGCACAATGTGCAAATGTAAAATGTTTTTCTGTATGCACAACTGAATTTAAAATTAAGTGTGTATTAGATCAAACTAGTGTTAGCTGCTGATCTATAGGTTTGAAACACAACTAAACTGACATCTTGATGTTTTTCCCTAGAGGAGATGGGGACTGGCTATGCAAGCTGTAAATACTGCCTGAAAAAGTAAATGCTTCCTATTTCACTTGCTTACAACTTAATACACAAAATCGAGGTGCCACTGTTGCCACCAAAAGAGAGGAACTAAGGATGGGAAGAAGCAGCTGCTACTAAAGGGTTAGGGTTCTTTTGCCAAGAGCAGCTGCCACTCCTGCCCCTTTTCCATGCCAGCAGGATCATGGCCTATCTGTGCTGGGCCCACTGACCATGCAAGCACTGTCCCTCACGCCTGGAGACAAGCAAGAAAGACGGTTTGTCTTTCTGGGTCAGTCAGGAACAGTTCCCATGCCCTCCACCACCATCGTCCCATGCCACAGCAGAGGCCCTGTTCTCAGCTGCAAGCAAGTTCAGCAGCAGCTTGAAAGAGTGAGTTTGGGGCTGGGGAAT